AGGCCTCTAAACCATTTTACACTCCTTAATTGAATTCAAATCCACTGAGCTAATGCATTATCTTGGCCATTTAGACATTGCACACAAAACTAATCCCTATTTGGAAAAAGGTATATTGCCATTTTTGAAAAGCTATACTTTATGTCAAACCAAGATCTTTGAGGCATGGGGCCATATCTCTGAGGCAAGATCAAGTCCACAAATTGCAAGTATCAAGAAAAAAGGATGCAGCATACAAGATAGGGATTACAGGCCTGTATTGACAAGTTACACATTCTTGCTTCACAAAGAAGAAATTAGTCCAAAATCTTCAAAACTCAAAAACCAGCCATAGTCAGCTTACACAAACATTGCAAACACATTTCACACAACCCTTTGAGTCATAAACACGAGCCCTTCCCCACTCAAACCTCCTTGTACACAAAATCACTGTTTTTCTGCAAAACAGGGCAAGCCCTGCAGAACCACCTCCATCTCCATTTTCCCTCGTGCGTTTTGCCTCAAATTTGTTCCAATACCTTCCATTCAACTCACCAGAACTATTCCAGACCTCCATTGCTAGCTTTAACACCATTAACACACATTTCCATTTTTGTTTCAAAGCTTTGCAGGTTGAGTTCTGTAGCACGATTCAGGCTACTTCAAAACAAGCCAAGCATTGGGAAAGCTTCATTGGACCTCAGGCAAGCTCAAAAGAACCTCAAGCACCCTTGGAAGTTGCTGAATTGTCCAGCTCGAAGTCAACTGAAACAGGTATTTCATGAACTTCTATCTCTCTATTTAGGAATAGTTAGGCTTAGGTTTGTGAATGAAAGATGTTGTATTCATAGCCCTGAAACCATACATGTGTTTAGTTTTCATTTATATTAATCGTGCTAGGAGAATTTTGTTCATGAACTTCCTGAAAAAACTAGGATAAAAATTAGGGCCAGAGAAATTCTCTCTCGTCTTTGAGAGTTAGTTTAAGTTTTTTATATGGTTAGATTCGTTGTTTGATGCTCTACAAGTTTCATGTTATGAGTTTTGTCAAAAAAACAAAAGAATCAGGAGATAACATTTGTGTATAGAAGCGCGCGTATTTCTGTTCAAAGGAAGAAGATGAAGTTGGTTTGGGCTGGGCATGTACATACTTGCTTTTGGCACCCCCTCTTTTCTTTTTACACCCCCTGGCCCATTTCTTGTACATTTGTCATTTTTTCATTTTTGTTTCATTTTTGATTTTGATATTTTATTTTCCAACATAAAAAATACTTAAAAATTATTTTCATAAATTTTTATATTTATTTGGAATTTATTTTAATTATTACTAGTATAAAAATGTTTAAATGCTTTATATTCTTTTTATTAAAACCTAAAAATAATGTAAAAAATATGTTTATTTTCATTTATTATTTTTATTCACATTTGAAAATATTTTCTTGAAATATACACATTTTTGTATATATATATATATATATATATATATATATATATATATATATATATATATATATATATATATATATATATATATATATATATATATATATATATATATATATATATATATATATATATATATATATATATATATATATATATATATATATATATATATATATATATATATATATATATATATATATATATATATATATATACAAAAATACAAAAATACAAAAATGGTGAAACAACAATAATATATATATACTTTATTCTATTAAATAATTAGGACAAAAATACAAAAATAATATATTTTCATTTTTATTAATATTCTTCACTAAAAATATCTTTTTTACAATATACTTTTATTTTTTGTACAAATTGATACATTATTGTATATAAATAATAAATAATGTCATTTATTTAAGAAATTAGGGTTTTTGCCCTAAATAATAAAATAATTGAAATTGATTTTTTTATTTATTTACACTTCACATTTAAAAATACTTTTTGTATACATAAATCTTTTTTTTGCATGACACATTTTATCTAACATTTATTTATTATATTTTATTTAATTATTGTACATTTAAATATTGTATTCTATACATTCGACTTGGTTGTAATAATTTAGAATTTAATTTCTGGTAAAATAACCCCCAATTCAAATTTGTACCCCCCTCCCTATATCATGTTGTAATAGTGTAGAATTTAAATTCTCTCACCTTTAAATACTTTCAATCATGCCATGATTAGACCTATGGTTTGTATGCAAAATAAAATCAACAACTAGTTTGACCTAATCCAAGATAACAAGGTATGAAAATAAACACAATGCACACTTGCACCCCTAGAGTTTCAATCCACTTGTTGCCTTCAAAAATGGGTCATGGTATGCATGTCAAGTACTTTGGCAAAACAAAAACAAACAAAAGATCATAGTCCCTCGATGACGCTATCTGAGTTGCCTAAACAAAATGATCAAGTCCCTTAAGAAAATTGCCAAAAATACTTGACACAATTGCTATCATGGTCTATACGATGACCCGCGCCTGTCCCATTAACATCCTAACACAAGGTTGTTCATCAAACACAATGGTGAAACAACACTATTAAAAAGGTTAAAAACATAAGAAAGATATTTGAGTAAAATAGGGTAGATAACTCTTAGTTACTTGATCAAAACTTGCAAAAACATCCTTGCTATCTTCAAAATACGCTTCACAACACAAATTTCAAAACCCTACTTTCAAAATATTGAAAACTTTTCAAAAGACAAAAACACCTTTGTATACATTCAAACAAGAATCATTACAAAGGTTGCCACAATGACGGCCTCTTTCCAAAATATCTTTCAAAATCACACACAAAGCACCATTTCAAACAATTGAAGAGCACCATTTCAAACAATTGAAAAGCAAAGCAAGTGATCTAAGCAAGTAACTAAGAGCCCATGGATAACCATGGATAGAAAGGGTGCTAATACCTTCCCTTTCTATAATCTACTCCCCGAACCCAAGAAAACATCTCAAAGGTCTTTCCTGTGCTTTTTGACCTTTCCTTAGGATAAAATAAAAAGTCGGTGGCGACTCTTGCTAAACCGAAACATTTGCAAACACAAACGCAAAATCCCAAGTCAGTTCTCCCTCCGTATCATAGTCATGTTCCATTATTCCAGTACGTGCGCTAAATTCTCAACTGATGGAATGAGGTCGTGTGGACTTCGTGTGGGCTGCTTCGTGGTTTACTGCATAGACTGAGTTTTTATGGTGTTACATTCGTAATGCAAATCATCACGTCCGTAACAGCTTAGGCCTTTTGTTATGTTCGTAACGCGTTACGTTACATTCGTAATAGTGTGCGCCTAGGTGTTACGGACGTAACGCTAGGCGTTGCGCTCGTAACGCTCTTCTGGTGTGAGCTTTTAGCAGAATGTCTGTTTTCTTCTTTCTTCTTGTCATTTCTTAGCTTGTTTTGCTCCTTTTAGCTTATTTGCCATCTTATGTATTGGAAAATATAGTTTACCTGAAAACACGTACAAATACCTTCGTGATGCATATTATTCGATAAAAATGTACAAATAACTCGTGTAAATTAGGCCTAAAAACGATACATTTTCGTGTTATCAGTTGCGTTGATGCAACCTTCAATTTTCTTGACCATCAGGTTAAGTCGACCAAGGGGTCGGTGCAACACAACCTGGGAGAAGCACAAAGCTTTGAGTCGACCAGAGCTAGTTTGCATCGACACAAGCTTCATTTTTCTTGCCAAAAAAGGTTATTTTCATCCAAGCTTGCATCCCGTACTCTGTCCCAAGTATATTTTATGTGGCACACATGTCATTGAGGATATGATAGGTTTTGACATCATGAAAACATGAATCTTGCCCTCACAATTTTTTTGGTAGATCTAGATATACATCTCCGAATATCCATTTTTCATTAAAAAACAAAATACAGGATCATTCGGAGTTGCATCTCCGAAGCGACCCTTATTTTTTGAAAAAATAAGACAGGTTCAGAGATGTATCTTCGAAGTATTTCATTCATACACGATCATGTATGTAAGGCCCTTATTTTCCTACAACTTCTATAAATAAGGAGGGTCTCTCAATTCATTTTCTTTACACAAACCAGGATGTCTATATATCCCCATTTTGCTTTTGTGTATTTCAATGACACAACACCCCCTCTTCAACTTCGAATATGCGAGGACATACTTTTCGTCGATCTGAAAATCAAACTGGATACTCTTTTGCAATATTCAGAAAACCAGAGAGTTGCTAAGCTCGAATATTGTTCACCTCTCAATAAACAACGAAGGGAAGATACAATTCACATTGCTTGAACTGAAGATGAATGATGATTTGAAGGTGATATAGAGTACCTTTTACCGTTACTCAACAAAGATTCTATTTGAAGTGAATGCGATGATTCAAATATCAGCCGTCGATAATATAAGAATGTTGCAATGTCCCAAACCATATTTTTTAAATAAAATGTAATGTTAAATTTATGTAATGTTTATTTTGGAGTTAATTTAAGTTGGTTTAATTTCATTCTTCCATCGTTGTTTCAACCAGTTTCTGCTTTGATCTAACAATGCCTATTCCAGAGATGTATCTCCGAAAAGTTCACTAACTACTTAATTAAAGATATTTTAGAGATGCATCTCTGAATCAATATTTCGCGCAAATAGAGATGCATCCGTGGACCAATTTTTTTTATAAAAAAAGAAGAGTCTGTCACTATTTTTTCTTCATTTGTGTGTAAATAACATGCGTCTAAAAATACATTTCTATTGAAAGAGAGAAGCCATAAAGGTGGAAATAACATTAAAAAAAAAAGAGAACTCTGGTAGCAAAAAGAAGAAGTTTGTTTTGGCGCCATAGGTTAACCACCATGTTGAAAGGGGGACAGCTGAGAAAACCCCAACGAACCGCTCATGACTCATTCTTCTGATCATTGAGCCGAAGCACGAGCCTGATTCTTCTTCTACTTCCTATTCCATTCCATTTCCAATCTCAATCCCAATCCCTGAGTTATTCAACACAAAATCCGATCCATTATATCGTTTTCATGGCTTCCAAATCCCAAACCCTAGAGTTAAACTCCACCCAGTTATTCACCACCGCTCTTCAATCCCTCAATCTCCCAAAACCTCCCCTCCCACTCCCTCCACTCCCATCATCTTCCTCCATTCCCCACTCCAAACTCATCCCCAACACCCGCTTCCTCATCGACGCATTCCGCCACTCCTGCGACTTCTCCGTTTCCTACTTCCTCTCCCACTTCCACTCTGACCACTACACCGGCCTCACCTCCTCCTGGTCTCGCGGTATCATCTTCTGTTCCCCCACCACCGCTACCCTCCTCATCCGCATCCTCAACATCCCTCCCCCTTTCATCTACCCTCTCCCTCTTCACCAACCTGTCCTAATCGATGGCTCTTCTATCACCCTCATCGATGCCAATCACTGTCCCGGCGCCGTTCAGTTCCTCTTCCACGTTCCCCAATCCATGAGGTATGTTCATACTGGCGATTTTCGGTTTAATCCTAAAATGATATTGGATCCTGCACTTGTGCAATTTATTGGTGCTGATGCTGTGTTTCTGGATACAACTTATTGTCACCCTAAATTTGTTTTCCCTTCGCAAGACGAGTCTATTAATTATGTTGTTGATGTTGTGAATCAATGTGATGGTGAGAATGTATTGTTTCTTGTTGCTACTTATGTTATTGGTAAGGAGAAGATTTTGCTTGAGCTTGCTAGGAAGTTTGGGAAGAAGGTTCATGTGGATGCTAGGAAAATGGAGGTTTTGAAGGCTCTTGGGTATGGAGAGAGTGGTGAGTTTACCGAGGATGTTTTAGAGACTAATATTCATGTTGTTGGGTGGAATGTGTTGGGGGAGACTTGGCCTTATTTTAGACCTAATTTTGTTAGGATGAAGGAGATTATGATTGAGAGAGGGTACTCCAAGGTTGTTGGTTTTGTGCCTACTGGATGGACTTATGAAGTGAAGCATGATAAGTTTGCGGTTAGGTCTAAGGATTCTTGTAAGATTCATCTTGTGCCGTATAGTGAGCATTCAAACTATGAGGAGCTTAGGGAATATGTGAGGTTTTTGAAACCTAAGAGGGTTGTTCCGACTGTGGGTTTAGATGTTGAGAAGAGTGATAGTAAACATGTTGACAAAATGAGAAAGTATTTTGCTGGTTTGGTTGATGAGACGGCCAACAAGCAAGATTTTTTAAAGGGGTTTAAGCAGTGTGACTCTGGTGTAGTGGGTTTTGAGGTTGGGAAGGATGTAACTGATGATTTGGGACCAGGGCAGAGCATCGAGAAAGAGGTGAAGCCATCTGATGGGGGAGAGGATAGTAGTAGTCCGGATGTTATTGTTAGTGTGCCATCTTGTATGGGAGATACTTGCAAAGAAGATCCTACATTGTTAAATGAAGAAGAAAAAGAGAAGGTCATTCAAGAACTGAGTTGTTGTTTGCCCACGTGGGTTACTCGAAGCCAGGTGTTAGATTTGATCAGCATCTCTGGGAGCAATGTCGTTGAAGCAGTTTCTAATTTCTTTGAACGTGAAACTGAATTTCATGAGCAAGTAAATTCTGGTCAAACTTCAGTTCCAACACCCAGGTGTTGCTCATCGAATGACTCCAGTCCCATTTCAAAATCAAACCTCAACAATACAAACAGCACTTTTAAAAATTTGGACATTTTTCCAAGTCGAGACTCTAAATTGACCAACTCCAAATTGACTAAACTAAGGCACACACTACCAAATCAGATTTCCCCTTCCAAAAGAAAGAGGAGTAGTGAAAGTAAGCCAAACAAGAAAGTAAAAGTCAAAGCAAAATCAGAATTGAGTGGTTCAAAGCAGGCAACAATAACAAAATTCTTCAGCAAAGCAACGCCGGAGATTCCCGGTGATACCCAATCTGATCAATGTGGAACGAATCTGGGGGAAAGCCCCAAAGTTGAAGAATTGTTGCCAACTGCTGCTGGAAACTTGTATAAGCATGAGATTGATCAGTTTATACAAATAATAAATGGGGATGAGTCATTAAAAAAGCAAGCAATTACTATAATTGAGAAGGCAAAAGGAGATATCAATAAAGCATTGGATATATATTACTGTGATTCTGGCAATCTTGGTGAAAGTGAAATATCAGTTCAAGGGGAGTGCAATATCGGCAGATCTATAGAGAAGAAGAATGTGTCACAAGAGTTGAGAGTTATACCTGATATATCTATGCATAGAGTGTTAAAAGATAATGTAGATGTAACTCATGTATCTTTACCATCTGAGAAATACAACCCCAAAGAACATGGTTTGTGTTGATTTTATTTTATTCCCCCTCACTACCACTAAATTTACTCCCTTTATAAATTAGAAGTAATTATTCAACTATATATTTGCACTTTTTAGTCAAGATCTGTTTTGTAAAATATGTTTACTACTGGCATAAATGAGCAGCGTGTTGGAGTGATGGACAGCCTGCACCATATTTACATCTTGCACGAACCTTCAACTTGCTTGAGGATGAAAAAGGAAAAATAAAAGCTACTTCAATGCTATGCAACATGTTTAGAAGGTCCTTTCATACTGATCATACTCTTTGTATTACCCATTTCCCCTCCATTTTTTTTTGGAATAATCAAATAGTTTTACCAGCATTTGGCTGATTGAGAAAAATTATGTACATACAATGTTTCTATAGTTTGTTGGCCTTGTCTCCAGAAGACGTGCTTCCTGCTGTGTATCTATGTACAAACAAAATTGCTGCAGACCATGAAAATGTGGTAGGTTTATTTCCAGTCTTGATATTTTGGAAGTTTTTACCTTCACCATATTTAGCCTTGATGATTGAAACTTAAAAGCTCTCTTCACTTGAAAGTGTCAAACCAGAGTTCCTTAAAAAATACATTAATTTATTGTATTTCAGTCCTTCATTGTTATTGCCTCTTCGGATCAAAACCCACCCTTTTTCATCTGTTAGCTTTTGAGTTTTCATTCCCTTTTTGTTTTGATTCTCCTTTTCTCTGGGTCATGGGCATAAGGAGTGTAACCTTGGTTTCAAGACGACAATTATTCATTAACTATTTGATGGTAAATAGCACATGATCATGTACGAAGCAGGGATTCATAGTATTAATTAAAAAAGTTGTTTCTGTAATCCAGAAGCCAATTTAATGGTCAACTAATTGAGGTTTCTTATGGAAAAGTACATTACTATCTCTGGTTGTTAATTATTTATGTTTCTTTAGCTTCTTCCAGATGACAAGTCGTCATGTTTGACATTAAATATAGGAATTTACTATATGGCAATGAGGGTTATTATGCACTAATAAAGTTCCACGCGACATGCATTTAATGCAGGAACTAAATATTGGTGGAAGTTTAGTCACTACAGCACTCGAAGAGGCATGCGGGACAAATCGATTGAAAATTAGGGAGATGTATAACAAACTTGGCGACCTTGGTTGGATATTATCATAGTGTTTTGTTTTTTTAACTAAACCTATTTAGCTCTTGAGGATTCTGAATAATTGAAATAATCTGGTTTTTTAAAGGTGATGTTGCTCAAGAGTGTCGTCAAACACAGAGATTGCTCGCACCACCTACACCACTTCTGATTAAGGATATTTACTCTGCACTTAGAAAGATAAGGTATCAACAACTGTTTTGTTTCGTATTGTAACTCATAGCCTTACTAAGGGTATAGTTTAATATACCGCTCAATGGTTTGCTCCTCAGATGTTTAGTTGAGCATTGTTACTGTGGACTTAGGTTCAGTATGAACCCTTGATGTGGTAGTAACATGTCATTGACTTAGATTATTTAAATTATATATATATTTTAGTAAGTGATCCATTAACGTGAGCTACTTGCTCCCAAATCTAACAATTATGAAGTAAAGGGACCAATATGTATTTAACCTAATTAGCTGTAACATTTATTTCTCTTGTGCTTTTATTGCTTTTCTTTTCTACTAATTCTTCTACTTTTTATTTCTACTTAGTTAATCTTTTAGTTTTGTTCTAGCTGTTCTTATATAATGCTCATCAGTGTGCAAGCAGGCAATGGAAGCACATTACGAAAGAAAGGCATCATTACTCATCTCATGCGTTCCTGCCGTGAAAAGGAGATGAAGTTTCTTGTCCGGACCTTGGTAATTATCCCCATATTTTTTTTTTTTTGGTTTATAGGAGTTTAGAAGGAGGGGAGGTTATTCAATTTCAAGGTTATAGCGAGCCACAGGTCTCATTCAGATAGACCTAAATCCAAAATGCTTAGACTCAACAATATCTCTTCTTTTCCACAAACAATTAGCTTACACATATCTACAAATTTGACTAAATACAAGAGATATTGTTGAGTCTAAGCATTTTGGATTTAGGTCTATCTGATATTGGAGAAAATGAGAATGTCATCTTTTATGCAACTTTTCTGATCAGTAGAGAAAGAGAGATAGTCCAAGAATGAAGCGCACCACAGTTTATGCCTATCCGCATATGAACCCATCCTATGTGTTAGTTTAATCTTCAATCCATCGCTCCACAATCATTCATCTAGAGTTTTTTCCCCAATTTATCACTCTTGATTCTAGGGTCAGTACTAACTTGATTTACACGACTTTCCTTAATAGTTTTGTACTTTGGTCCTGTTAACTAGTTTCCTAAGGGCATTGTTTAAGGTTTCTAAACAAGGTAATTATTCCTTGAAAAGTTAAACATCTCTCTCAGTAAAAAAAACACAACTTCCCATAGAAGTTTACTTTTTTAGACTTATTAAACAACGTCCTTAGGGCATTCAATAGCATTTGCCTTTATTTTAACATTGGGTTTTCTCTTTTTATGGTCTTATTCAGCTTCTTAAATTTTTTGTTACTCCTCTTTGTTTTTCTCCATTGTATAATGTATATCGTTTGTGTATAATTAATCTCAGATATTTTTATTGAAGAAGCTTGGAGAATATGTTTGTGTTTTTGTTTAAAGATTACCCTACCAAAGAGGGAAAAATGGCAGTGAGGGAATCCTATTTCTTAAGTTAACCATTTCATATTGGTGGGGTCCTTCACGGGAAAAGGCAAAAGTATTTGACTCTGCTTTCTTTGATATTGAATACTTTTATGTTTTAACATGGTGATGTGAACAACTTCCGTCTCTAGTAAGTCTACCAAGGAACAATACAATAAATTATATTTTGCTATAATCAAGTTGAGAACTAGACAGTGCCCTTGCACGCCATAACTATCTTCTGTCCACCTTCAAGTTGGAGATCTGAGAGCTGCAATAGTTGATGCATAAAAATGCTTGTTATACCTTACGTTGTCACCAGAGTTATAAAATTAAAAGAGACAATTGCGGGTGTGGACCTTCATTTGCTTTAGCAATTGCCTCTGTATAGATTCCAAATTACCAATATTAAAATTATCATTATTACAGAGGTTATTTCTAAAGCAATAGCCTTCATTTGCGGATGTGAATTTTATTCGACATTTCTTTCATTATATATTGTGTGGGCTGTATCATGTATCTCTATACAACTTTTCAGGTTAGTTAGTTATAATACAGTAGTAACTAACTGTATTTAGTTACAGCTGGCACTCTTAGTTATTTACATAACATAACAGTTCTACTGTATATAGCATTGATGTAACAGTTTTACATTCAGTTAATCATTATACAGATTACACACTTCCCATTCTCTGTTCTATCTCAAATCCTGGAACTATGTGAAGTTATTTCATAAATTACTGTACCTGGCTAGATTGACGGTCTCCTCTCAACACATCATATTTCAAGATTTACTATTCTGAGTAAACAAATATGATGGTGGCTGATTATATTTATCAAATATCCTTTTTTCTAGATTCTATCTGTATGCAAGTGTCTTTGCTTCTCAAATTTGATTTTTGTGTAGGTCAGGAACTTGAGGATTGGAGCAATGCTTAGAACTGTTTTGCCTGCATTGGCTCATGCTGTTGTTTTGAATTCTCGCCATACTGTGTGCCAAGAAGGAACGGCAGAAAATTTGAAAGCGGCGCTTCAGGTTCCTTCTGGAATCATTTTCTTTCTTTACTATGACCAAGCTTACATATTAATATACTATTTTACTATTCTGCCTATTTTGCAACGGTTGATATTATTTTTTGTCATAATGGTTACTTTTCATTAGCCATTTTCTGTGTAGAGGTCTAGAGGAGCTTTCATTTAGTGGGACAATAGGAAACAGGATTACCTCATTGGAGAATCTATGATGAAAGATATACATGAATAACACACATTGACATCAATTATATAGAAATTCCTTTAAATCCATTTGTATACCTAGGAAAGTGATACTTAACAAAAGTAGAAGCATGATGAAACAGATGATTGTAAATTGTAGTTAGAGAAAGAAAAATGTAATACAAGACGATAAAAAAGAAAGCACATCAGTTATGCAAAGTTTGTCAATCCTATCTATACTGTATAATCATGTACTTGATCTGAATTATTATGTAATTCCGATGAAAATGTGATTCCATGGGTAGATGCCCTAGGCCCCAAATTTTTCTGAACCCCCTCCAAATGAATAAACAATTCAGTCCAATGGGGAAACCAAAGAAAGGAACTACTTAAGTATTCATTTGCCATGCTCTCACCAAGTAGCAGCAAAAATATTTCACATTCATGAGATATATATCTTCTACGTTCCTGCCAAAACCTCTAGAACTAACAAATCATTTTGTCAAACCCAGAGGGTAAGCCTAGATTTATGAGATCCAAAAACTTATTCTTTTTGTAATTACTTCCAAGATAATGGAAAAACAATTGTATGGCAGCTTCCAACTTTCTGTGTAACTTCAATGATTTGGCGATCAATTGATTATGTTTAATTATTAGGTTTATGGGTTCCTTTTCATTTATCTAACATTCCCGTTGGTCCAAACTTTGAAGGTTTACCATTCATGTTTTGCCTTGTCAATTTTTATATGAATATATTATGACTTGTAACCATTCTCCAAAATAAGCTTTAAAAACTGTGGAAAGATGAATCCTCGTGCAAAGTTGTCACTTTTATTTGGGATGCAATGCTTATCAGGATTGAGAGTAATAATTTGTTACATGTTCACAAGGTTCCCGGGGCTTATTTTGTGTGCCAAAAACACTCCAATCGAAATAGACCTATATCTTTAATAATGAATTTTCCCATCTCTCCAGGTCCTTTCTGTGGCAGTTGTTGAAGCATATAACATACTGCCAAATTTGGTAAGTATTTAATATATTTGAAATTTTGAATAGTTAGTCTTATCTACATATATAGATTGTATGACTAAAACTAAGAGGAATGTTAGTGACACACTCTTAATTAGTGGATGAAATTTATGTGGATTCCACTCTCTTTTTTAGTAGAGTTCACTCCTTAATTGGTGAGAGCCACGTGAATATTATATCAGTCAATAATAAAGGGTGTTGAAACAATGTATTGCTAGCATTTTTCTTGAAAATATTGTATTTTGCGCTCATTAAGCCATTGTACGTTTCTCTTATGAGGAGTCATAGTAACTATATTTTGAACACTCCCTCTCTTATTAGATATTCTCTCCGTTCCTTTTTAAGTGTCATTTTAGCATAAAACTCTTCAACCAAGATAGTGGATTGTTAAAGTTATTTTTCCTATTATACTCTCATTTATTTTCTCTTTCCAAATAAATTCAATCATACACTCTCTCTCTTTTTCCAATAACTAATTGAGAAAATAATTGATCTTATGGAAAATGTGAAGTGGAGTTATTGAGAAAGTAAGGGTATAATTGACTAATTATAACATTAAACTATAAAAACGACACTTAAATAGAAACAAAAAAATTCTTCTAAAACGACACTTAAAAAGAAACTTAAAAAGAAATAGAGGGAGTACAATTTATGTAGATCCCATTATATTGAAAATGACTCCCAAAGGTGGTGAGATGGCTCACATGAATTTCACCCACCGAGGAAGTGTTGAAAAGAGTATTAGAGAGTGCATTGCTCTCACTTTTCTTACTCTCATATTAAAAGATATATAGTTTGGTGCTAAATGTTTGTGTGCATGTATTTGTGTTTCTAAATAGCTTTGTTAAAGGTTAGAATTCATAAACATTATAGCTTTACGTCACCAATATTAAATGTGACCAAATAGTTATTTATGTTGAATATAACTTTTACTAGTAATTGCTGATTTGCTTAGTATGCATCTTAGAATTTGTGTTTGTTCCAAGTCATCCCTACAAATCTGGCTCATAAGGTGAGAGATGACTCTCACTTGTAAACAAATTTTCAAGTCATATCACATTTAATGTGAGACCTCTCAATACACATTCTTCACGCCCAGGATTGAACATTTGGAGCGTGATCTGAACAATTTGTTAGCGGGTGGTCCAACAGATTTTGGATTGGAATTCCAACTTAGAATTTGGGTTTCACTTATAAAATTTTTCAGGCTATATCGCATCTAATGTGAGACACTTAGCAATGTGAACATCCTATAACTTCGTTCCTGTTAATACATTCTTAATTTCTCTTGATGGTCTTCTTAGAATTTATGTTGGGCCTAACCCAATCCTTACAAAATCTGCTTGTAAGGCGAGGATTATGCACCACTTGTAAACATATTTTCTAGCCTTATATCATTCAATGTGAGACTCTTAACAAGTCTTATTTGTTTGTGTAAATAGTTTTGGCCTTATATGACCAAGAATGCAGTATTCCTGTGATGTTTCACATTTTCATTGTCTTTTTATGCAGGATATCATAGTCCCATCTCTCATGAACAAAGGCATTGAGTTTTCAGTTTCAAGTTTATCAATGGTTCCAGGAATCCCAATTAAGCCTATGCTTGCAAAGTATATACTATTCCATATTTTGGCCCTTTTTTGAGTGCTTTATGATTAATTTCATAGTTTCTAGAATCTTCTTTTCTTAACACAAGAGTACTCACTTTGATAACAACCTCTGGTTTTTTACTTTGTATTTTTCTTTGTAGGATTATCAATGGCATTCCCCAAGCATTGAAGCTATTTCAAAATAAAGCCTTTACATGTGAATATAAGTATGTCTTTATTATTGAATGTTACTTTCCATTTATCTTTATTCTCTTCATGCCTCCCTTGACATCTCATTGCACATAACCATGGACACAATGTAGCAAGTAGTCATTTAAAATCATGTTTGGATATAATAATAATAATAATAATAAAAAATAGTAGTAATAATAATAATATTACACTATTACGTTTAGTTGTATTTAAACCAACATATACATTTATTTTCTGACATTTCATTAGCCCCATTTTGCGTATTTGATGATACAGTCACGGAAAAATTGTAATGCTTGTTGTACATAGACTATGTTTACTTCCACTGTTTTACAAAAATGAAGTGGTAAGAAATGCAAAAAATTAAACTGTAACATTTGTAATTTAAGTTTTATTTGCAACAAGTATAAACTCTTGGAACTCCTATGTACCAGTAAGAAAACTTAAAATTTCTGATCTTGCTTATTCTTTGGGCAGGGAACATATCATGTGAGAATGTCTTCTTTTTTTTTTTTATATATTTTTTTTATGATAATGAAAAGAATAAATAGGAACAATTAGATTAACTTGGATGGCTAAGATGAAAACATTTTTTTTAAGTGAATCATGTGCTATTGATGTCAGAATTTTGAATTTGCATGATTTGAAGAACTTCTATTTTAATTATTCCTATCAAACTCCACATTTATGGCACAAAATTCACTTAAAAAATGTGTTAATCCTACATCCAATTTAATATAATGACTCCTATTTATTCTTTTCATTCTCATATAAAAAATCATTTTCACTTGATATGTCCCCTCTACTGGCAATACTTTTAAGTTTAATGATTTTATTAAGTATATTGAGACCCTTTGGCATTACTTGCCTCTCTGTTGCAAAGGGACGAATCATACCTCTTTTTCATATGACTTGCTAAACTAGGATAAATATAATTCCAGGTATGATGGTCAGCGAGCTCAAATACACAGATTAGTCGATGGATCAGTTCGTGTTTTTTCGAGAAATGGAGATGAATCAACTTCGAGATTCCCTGATCTGATTGACACAATAAGGGAATCTTGCAAGCCTGTTGCATCAACTTTCATAATCGATGCAGAGGTACATAACTGTTTTCTGCCAAGTAATAATTTTTTGTTTGTTCTTGGTTAATTATCTTCTGTTATTCCCTCCTGATTTTATGCTTTTTGTTCAGGTTGTTGGTATTGATAGAAAAAATGGATATAGAATTATGTCATTCCAGGAGCTATCTTCACGTGAGAGAGGTGGCAAAGATACTCTAGTTACTAAAGAGAGCATAAAGGTCAGTAACTTGCATGCACAAAAGAAACAGAAGCAATCATGCTTAAAAGAATTCCATGATAGAGAGAATTGTGGAAAGAAAATCTGAATCTGTGGATGTATTTGTAATTATGTTCTGAATCACGTTAATTATTTCAGATCTAACTAGGTCTTTAACACAATTACCACCACTAACAGTCAATAATTAGCTAACTTTGGTGTTTTCTCGAGTGTCCTAGAACTTGCTTACTTATTGTTAATGTTGATAATTATATATGTGTATGTATATAAAGAGAATATTCTCTACATATTCCTTAGTGTATTCTAAAATAGGATATCTATGTAATTAATATTAGGATTTGTATTTTCTCCTATATAGTGCATCTTCCGTTGTGCTATTCAAATACACGGTTTATTCAAATGTCTCTTAGTCTCTCGTATTTGAATTTGGTATCCAGAGTCTACTGAGAGACAACCCTTCACCGTGTTTGACCCGGTTGACCCATTGTCTTCTGGTGAGAAATTTTTGGCAAACCGTGTCATAACTCCGGTTTGCCTTCCCTACACTTCCGGATTCATTCCGTCATCAGTTTTCTAATTTCTCCGATCATCACCGGCCTGCCGCCGTCGTCCGCCGCCGCTACTATTTCCGGCCACCTTCCGGCAAACTAACCCTACTGGCAGAAGCACGTCTTCCGATCCAGTCAATCCCATCGTTTTTTTTTCACCGCCCCACTCGCCACCTTGCAACTATTCCAGATCTGATACTCATGGCTACTCCTCAGAACATTACGCCAAATTACGATGATTTCCGCAGGTGGTATCAAAATTATCAGAACTCAGATTCTACTGCTTCGGTTGCACATACTGGTAATTCATCCATTTTCCTCTCTCAATCATCTTCTCTTGGACCTTGGGTCCTTGATTCTGGTGCGTCTGATCATGTTACTGGTAATAAAAATATTTTCTCTTCCCTCTCTACCTCTGATTTCTTACCTACTATAACTTCTGCCAATGGTTTTCAAACCCGATCCGAAGGAGTTGGTACTGTTTAAATTCTACCATCTCTCTATTATTTTTGTTCTTTATGTACCTAATTGTCCCTTTAATTTACTTTCAGTTAGTCATTTAACTCGTTCTCTTAATTGCACTGTCACCTTCACTAATAGTAATGTCACCCTGCAGAATCGGAGTTCGGGACAGACGATTAGCGTCAGATGTGAGTCTCAAGGCCTTTATTACCTCTCAGTGTCATCTCAGATATGCTCAGCCAAAGATTCTCCACTCACTATCCATGCTCAGTTAGGTCATCCTAGTCTTCCTAAACTATAGAAGTTGGTGCCAAGTTTATCAAAGGTATCTAATTTTCATTGCGAGTCGTGTCAGTTATAGAAACACACTCGTAGTCAATTTCCCAATCGAGTCAATAAACGAGCTTCGTCCCCTTTTGCTTTAGTTTACTCCGATGTTTAGGGTCCTTCACGTACTGTCTCTACTCTTGAGTCTAGGTATTTTGTCACCTTTATGATGATTTTTCACGTTGCACGTAGTCATTTTTAATGAAAAATAGATTAAAATTATTTTCTATTTTTGAAAATTTTTATAAAGAAATAAAAACTCAGTTTGGTGTGTCTATTCGTACCTTAAGAAGTGATAATGCTCGTGAATACTTATCCCAACAATTTCAAACTTTTATGTCCAGTAATGGTATTCTCCACCAAACATCTTGCCATCATACACCTCAACGAAACGGGGTAGCCGAATGTGAAAATCGGCATCTCGTAGAAACCACTCGGACCCTACTTCTCCACGGTAGTTCCACTTCGATTTTGGTGGGACGCTGCGCTAACAACGTGTTACCTTATAAATCGCATGCCATCATCTGTCCTTAACAATACAATTCTTCATTCAATCATTTTTTCCCATTTCCCCTTCACCCAATTCCTCCCCGAGTCTTTAGGTCTATATGTTTTATACACAAACTCTCTTCTGGTCTTGATAAACTATCAGCTCGATCACTAAAGTGTGTTTTTCTTGGTTATCATCCATCTCAAAAAGGTTATCGTTGCTATTCACATGCTCTACAACGATACCTCATGTCGACCGATGTCACCTTCTTCGAGTCTGTTCCATATTTCGCGTCCAACCAAGTAACTCCGGAACCCCTTCAGGAGAGTACTCTCACACCTCTTCCGGAAGTCCCATATGTCATTATCCCCCATCATTCTAGGGAATCTAGCCCAATAGATAACCCTACGGTTGACCCCCCGATTTCCCGTCCACTTCAAACATATTAGCGTCGTCAACCAACGTCTGTCATACTTGTCCCTGAGGTCGTACATGTCCCTGAGGTCATTGCAGACTCTCCTCCGACGCTCTCGCCATCACCGGATCCGATCCTGTAACCTGAGTCCGATCTTCCGATTGCCCTTCGAAAAGGTATACGTTAAACACGAAATCCTTCTCCACATTATATTAATTTATGCTATCATCATCTTTTCCCTTTGCAGTATACTTGTTTTGTCTTCTTTGTCTTCTGTTTCTATTCCTAAAACTCCAGGTGAAGCATTATCTTACCCTGAGTGGAGGCAAACAATGATTGATGAAATGTGTGCTCTTCAAAGCAGTGGTACCTGAGAACTGGTTCCTCTACCCCCTGAGAAATCTTTAGTAGGTTGTCGTTGGCTTTATGCAGTAAAAGTTGGTCCAGATGGTAAAATTGATCGATTTAAAGTTTGTTTAGTAGTCAAAGGATACACTCAAATTTTGGATTGGATTTTAGTGATACCTTCTTTCCTGTAGCCAAGACGGCATCTGTTAGACTTCTTCTAGCCGTTGCAGCCATTCGACATTGGCCTCTTCATCAACTTGACATCAAAAATGCGTTTTTACATGGTGATCTTGAAGAGGAAGTATATATGGAGCAACCACCTGAGTTTGTTGCTCAGGGGGAGTCATCGAATATGGTTTGTAGGCTACACAACCTCTTTATGGTCTTAAGCAATCTCCGAGAGCTTGGTTTGGCATATTCAGTATTGTAGTACAACAATTTGGTATGGTCCATAGTGAAACTGACCATTCTGTCTTTTATCGTCATTCAGTCCAAGGATGTATTTATCTTATTGTGTATGTAGATGATATTGTCATAACTGGTAGTGATGAGCAGGGAATACTCAAGTTGAAACAACATCTTTCAAATCAATTTCAGACAAAAGATTTTGGTAAACTCCGTTATTTCTTGGGTATTGAGGTAGCACAATCTAAAGATGGTTTGGTGATTTCTCAACGGAAATATGCTATGGATATTTTTGGAAGAAACATGTTTGTTGAACGCTAAACCAGCTGATACTCCTATGGATCCAAGTGTCAAACTACTATCCAATCAGGGGGAGTCTCTATCAGACTTAGGAAGGTATAGGAGATTGCTTGGAAAATTAAATTATCTCACAGTCACTCGTCCAGACATTTCTTTTGCAGTCAGTGTGGCAAGTCAATTCTTAAATTCCCCTTGTCAGGAACACATGGATGTTGTTATCCGAATTCTGAGATACATCAAATGTGCTCCGGAAAAAGGTTTAGTGTATGAAGATAAATGACATACTCAGATAGTTGGATACTCCGATGCTGATTGGGCAGGGTCACCAATTGATAGACGACCCACCTCTGGGTATTGTGTACTTGTTGGAGGAAATCTTATATCATGGAAAAGTAAGAAACAAAATGTAGTTGCAAGATTAAGCACCGAGGCAGAGTATAAGGTCATGACAATGGCAACATGTGAACTCATTTGGTTAAAACTGTTGCTCAAGAAACTTCAAATTGAAGAAGCAAGACCAATGGCACTTGTCTGTGATAATCAAGTTGCATTGCACATTGCTTCAAATTCAGTCTTCCATGAGAGGACCAAACATATTGAGATAAACTGTCACTTTGTTAGAGAGAAGATTGAATTTGACTACATCGTCACAAGCTTTGTCAACTCTAATGATCAATTGGCAGATGTGTTTACAAAATCCTTTCGAAGTCCCAGAACCAATTATACATGTAACAAGCTTGGTGCATTTGACTTATATGCTCAAGCTTGAGGGGGAGTGTTGATAATTATATATGTATATGTATACTAAAATATTCCTTAGAATATTCTTTAGTGTATTCTAGAATAGGATAAGATATCTATGTAATTAATACTAGGATTTGTATTTTCTACTATATAATGCATCTTCCGCTGTACTATTCAAACACACGGTTTATTCAAATGTCTCTCAGTCTCTCGTATTTGAACATTTAAGAATCCGTTATCAATCAATTAATATTGATTGATATTCAATTAGTTATAACTGTAATCGATATTGTTTCCTATTGTATATTACCTATTTGCATATAAATATACACCATGTGTGATCATATTCGACACACAGAGACACAATCTCAATATGGTATCAGAGCTGGTTGACCTACTGTCTTCCACAAAGATTTGGTCCTTGGGTCCTTGACTCTAGTGCCTCTGATCATATGACTGGTAATAAATCTCTTTTATCTCACTTGTCTTATTCTGATTCTTTGTCTTCTGTCACTGTGGCAGATGGTTCTAAAGTCAAAGTTCAAGGCCTTGGTCAGGCACATCCACTTCCAAACTTGTCTTTAGAGTCTGTCATTTACATTCCTGGTTGTCTCTTTAATCTAATACCTGTTCACAAGCTTATTCGTACTCTTGATTGTTCAGTCCTCTTTAATGATAATTCTGTATCCAGGATCGACGTACAAGACGGACGATTGGAGCAGGGAGTGAAGCTGGAGGATTATATCATCTTTCTCCACCGGTGGCCTGTGCTTCTATTGCTTTTCAAGAACTCACACATCAACGTTTGGGTCACCCTAGTCTTAATAAAATGCATCTTTTAGTTCTTAGTCTTTCTAAGCTTTCGTCTTTTGAGTGTCAGTCCTGTCAATTAGGCAAACATACTCGTAGTACTTATTGTCAACGAGTAAATTAAAGTGTTGTATCACCTTTTGCTTTAGTTCACTCTGATATTTGGGGTTCTATTCGTGTGAAGTCTACTTTATGATACGTGTGAAATCTACTTTAGGATACTATTACTTTGTAACTTTCAGCGATGATTACTCACGAAGCACTTGGTTATTTTTATTGAAAAGTCGTTTAGATGTTTTCCATATATTCCAAGAGTTTTATGCTGAAATTAAAAATTAATTTAACACTTCCATTAAAATGTTACGCACAGATAATGCTCGTGAATATATGTCATCCCAGTTTCAATCTTTTTTAACATTACAGGGAATTATTCACCAATCATCATGTGCTCATACACCACAACAGAACGATGTTGCTGAACGGAAGAATCGTCATTTAGTTGAAATCGCACGGACTCTTTTACTTCACCACAGTGTACCCTCTCGTTTTTGGGGTGATGCTCTCCTCACGGCATGTCACCTTATCAACCGAATGCCTTCATCGGTCCTTCAAGATCAGATTCCGTACCTATCTTGAATCCGCAACATGATCTCTACCCCATTCCCCTTCGCGTGTTTGGTTGCACATGCTTTGTTCATGATCTTAGTCCAAGTAAAGACAAATTTTCTGCTAAATCTCTCGAATGTATCTTTCTAGGCTACTCACATATCCAAAAGAGATATCGTTGTTTTTGTCCTTAACTTCAACGGTACATTGTCTCCTCCGATGTTACATTCTTTGAAGGTTCCCCTGTTTTCTCTGCCTCTTCGTTCTCCCATGAGATTTGTAATTTAGATGATCAAGATGTCCCTTCTGTCATCCCCACACCCATTAAACCTCCTTTGTAGGTATATCAACGACGCACATCGCGTCCATCGGCAATTAGAGATGATATTGATCCACCAGCACCATCTCCTACTCCAACTGTTCCTCCAGCTACGTCACCTGAACTTGACCTTCCAATAGCATTACGAAAAGGTATTCGTTCTCATAATCCAAATCTTAAATATGCTTGTGCTTTAAATTATGACCGTCTCTCTACTTCTTATGTTTCTTTTGTGTCTGCTTTGGATTCTGTGTGTATTCCTAAGTCTACAGGTGAAGCTATGACTGATCCCAATTGGCGTCAGGCGATGGTGGAAGAAATGGTTGCATTACATTCAAATAACACTTAGGACATTGTTCCTTTACCTCCAGACAAAACTACAGTGGGGTGTCGATGGGTTTATACAGTGAAAATTGGACCAGATGGTCAGATTGATCGTTTTAAAGTTCGTTTGGTAGCCAAGGGATACACAGATACTTGACATTGATTATGGTGACACCTTTTCTCCTGTGGCCAAGATTAGTTCAGTCCATCTCTTCCTTGCATTGGCTGCTATTAATCATTGGTCGCTTCCTCAGTTGGACATTAAAAATGCCTTCTTACGCGGAGAATTGGAGGAGGAAGTGTATATGGATCAACCTCTAGGTTTTACTATTCCTGGTAATTCAAGATTTGTTTGTCGGCTTAATCGATCTTTTCATGGGCTGAAACAGTCTCCACGTGCTTGGTTTGGTCGCTTAAGCTCTGCCTTGATACAGTTTGGTATGACTAGATGTGAAGCAAATCACTCTGTTTTCTTCCTTCACTCTTCCATCGGTCAACACATCTTTCTTGTGGTTTACGTTGATGACATTGTTATCACTGGAGACGTTACCGAAGGTATCCAGCGACTCAAAACTCATCTTTTCAAAAACTTTCAGACAAAAGATTTGGGTCCACTCAGATACTTCTTAGGTATCGAAGTTGCTCAGTCCTCATCAGACATTGTAATTAACCAACGTAAGTATGCATTAGACATCCTAACTGAAACTGGTATGCTTGATTGTCGTCTGATTGATACTCCTATGGATCCCAAAGTCAAGCTTCTTCCGAGTCAGAGGGAGTTATTGAAAGACTCGTGAAGATATCGACGTCTAGTGGGTAGACTCAATTATCTTACCGTCACCAGACCGGATATTACTTTTGCAGTGAGTATTGTGAGCCAATTCCTTAATGCTCCTTGTGATACTCATTGGAATGCAGTTATTCAGATTCTCAGATATATAAAGAATGCACTAGAAAAAGGCCTATTATATGAAGATAAGGGTGATGCTAAAATCACTTGTTATTCAGATGCTGATTGGGCAGGATCACCGTCGGATAGGAGATCCACTTTTGGATATTGTGTTCTTATTGGAGGAAATATGATCTCATGGAGGAGCAAGAAACTAAACAAAGTTGCACTATCTAGTGCTGAAGCTGAATATCGGGCTATGGCAGTAGCTTCAAAAGAACTTGCATGGCTTAAGGATTTGCTCTCAGAACTTAGGTTCGGTGACCTTCAGACCACAAAACTCATATGCAACAATCAAGCGGCACTCCACATTGCGTCCAATCCGGTTTTCCATGAACGGACCAAGCACATAGAAATAGATTGTCACTATGTAAGAGACAAGGTACTGTCAGGAGAAATAACCACGAAATTTGTCAAATCTGAAGATAAATTGGCTGATATGTTTACCAAGTCTCTCAAGGGTTCTCGAGTGAATTATATTTGTAACAAGCTCAGATCATACAATATATACGATCCGGCGAGGAGGAGTGTTAAGAATCCATTATCAATCAATTAGTATTGATTAATATTCAATTAGTCATAATTGTAATTGATATTATTTCCTATTGTATATTACCTATTTGCATATAAAATATATCCCATGTGTGATCATATTCGACACACAAAGATACAATCTCAATACTTATGATACACAGTATTTAACTACTTGATGAGTAACTCTTATCATTCTCTGTTCAAAGTCAGGGTGGTTGAGAAGTAGTCAATACGCCGAGTTTGTCTCTGATTGAAATGAAATGTGAATGAGACAAAAGCTTGGCAAGGAAATTTACCCAAGATAATTATTTTTAAAAAAACGCTGACTGGAACCCCTACTTGGAAGTTTGTCTTTCTTTGGCTAGCCAAACCTCATAAGAATATAAGAGTATTCTGGTAAGGCGCAACACGCATTTACCAATTATTGCTTTTCTGCTTCATGTGCCAATGAGTGGGAATCACGTGCTACAAGAATTCTATTGCCAAATTTGTTTTCATCACAAACATCTTAGATACCGTCCCTTTTCTGTGTTTAAGTCTTCATTTTCATTAACGACAATTGAAACTTTCCATTGTTGAGCCTTTGTTGCCGTTCTAGGGAGATTTCTAACACTGTATTTTTCTTCTGTGACTCTTTAGTTGAATTCTCAGGATTTGTTTCTAATATATTGTTCTTACAGGTGGACATCTGCGTCTTTGTCTTCGATATCATGTTTGCAAATGGAGAACAGTAATTATCTAAAACTTTATTTAATCCAATTTTATGGGAATTATATGCAAACTTGGTAGAAATTTTGATGGATCATATACAAGTGATTTTTGTCGCATTGGCCTTTTTGGTTTACTGTACTGTATAAGGCAGTGTAATATAGTGAATCAGTAATAAAAAGAGTATATGCTAAACCAGTGTTGTTAAATGGCGGCCCTATACTGCTATAGCGCAGCGAAATTTAGACAAACCACTATTGTTTTGCGATACGCCATTTAGTACAATAAATTGTTATTAAGCGTCTTTAGAGGCACTATAACCCTATTGCGAAGCAAGTTTTTAACAATTCCCTATCCACGAATGACAACACTGCTAAACTATCCACCTAATAAGCTTCTAGTCTATCATATTTTTGTTGTATTGATTGATAAAACGCAAGATGGTGTAATTAATGTTATCTTGTGTTTAGATCTAGAAAAACAGACAGGGCAATAATGTGACATTTTCTGTACTTATTAATTAATGTTGCAGTTAATCAATAATAATTAAGATGTGGATCTCAAGTTAAAGGAAGGTAGATGTATTTAGGCAGTGATGATTTTTTTTATAATATATAAGACACTAAGATTATTTGCGTTAAGCAGTGGATATTGCGATTCAAATACAGTCTGCGCTGATCCATTGAAGTGCTCTTTGCAGGTTACTGGATTTTCCACTCCGCCTAAGACGAAAGTGTATGCATATCTGGTCATTTAGATTATGAATTTTCTGCATTTTCAGGCAAGACAATAACGTACTATAGCTCATAATTTTACTTGCACTAATGCTTATTCATGTCTTCAAAATGATCAGATCTGAAGGATTTGTTCTATGATGAACGGCCTGGGTATTTTGCATATGCAAAAGAAACAACTGTAGGTGTTTCAATTTATTATTATTATTTTCTTTTTTCTTTCTTGAGTGAAACTCATTTAATGTGCTACTGTATAAATGAACACTTCAATTTTAGATTGAAGCAGATGACGCTTGCTTAACATGTGAAGCCACATTAACTAGAATAAATGCTTTCCTTGAAGATGCAATCCACTCTTCATGTGAAGGAATTATGGTGAAAATGTTGGATATTGATGCTGGGTATTCTCCATCGAAGCGATCTGACAAATGGTTAAAGGTTATTATTTGTCTTACAGGACTTTTGTTGCTTTATATAAGATACACAGAGAGATAGATGTATTGCACCTGTCTAATATCCCATGGCTTGATTTTATAGGTCAAGCGAGATTATGTAGAAGGATTAAGTGATACTCTCGATTTAGTACCAATTGGTGCTTGGCATGGAAATGGAAGGAAAGCTGGATGGTAGTTTATCATTCTTTTGTCTTTAAAATCTTTAAGACACTGCAATGAAACTGGCCAAAAATTTAAAGCATTTTCTCTCACATTACTACAGTAGTTCTATCAATAAACAGCTCTCTAAATGAGTAGACTGTTAGATGGAGACCCGTCACCCAAGAATGGTTTTGCATGTTGAGAAGCTCTGTGGCATTTAAAGGCACAAGTGGTAAAGGAAAGGAATATAATTGGAACAACTTTATGAATAACAGAAGTTACTTCCAATCAGTAAAATTGGTGATTGTATTTAGTTCTGGGCCTGACCAAACACGAAATGACCCAAGAAAAAATATTTGTTAGATAGTAAATCATAAAAAAGAAGAGGCTGGATAAGAAATTCCAAGTTAATTAGTTTAGGTTAAACTGTATTTCATGGTGAGCATCTCCTTTTCACAACTCCAGTCACAATTTCATTGGATAAACAACGTTAGAACTGCATGTAAAATTTAAGAACTTCGTTAACATACATCAAATGGAAAAGGGACAAGACTGCATTTTTCAGCGGCTTTATGATACTTTGTTCTAAGTAAGGGAGCTTGATGCTGTTACTTGTAACTAGAGGTCACGGGTTCCAGTTCTGGAATCAACCTCTTCCAAAATGTATGATAAGAGATGTCAAGAATGGATGTGCAATACCTCTGACCCTTCCCTTGATGGCATTATATACCCTTTTCCCCTTTGTTTATGATAATCCTTTTTTATAAGTTGATTGAATTGCTGCACTGTAGTTGGTCTGAATATTTTACTTTGCAGGTATAGTCCATTTCTCATGGCATGTTTCAATCCTGAAACTGAGGAGTATCAAAGTGTATGCCGAGTGATGTCTGGGTTCTCAGACTCTTTTTACATAGAGGTACAAGTAGTTTTGACATATGCTTTAAAATACTTTGGGCGTGCTAATTATGTATCTGTGCAGAAAACGCTGCCAGCTAACCCTAAAGTACACTAGACATATTTTCATCTAGAAAGTTGAAGGATATTATCATAATTCTTTATTTGAAGGTCCTTTCACTTTACTTAAAGTCGTCAATATGCCATATCAAATATTAGTGTGAAGCTAGTTTTTACTGTTATCATGAGTTATATCCTGTTACTGTTGTAATTGCACAAGACTAAATTGACCCCTCATCATCAGTTTTTAACTAGAGTTTTCAAGACACTGCATAAATGCTAGTTAACTGAAGATGCACAAAGTGCTTGCTATAACTTCTCTTTATGAAACTTTTGACTTGGTGGCAACATTCTTTTATCATCATTGACATGAAGATTGATATTGTGATGCAGATGAGAGAAATCTTTTCTGGGGACAAAGTCTTGTCAAAAAAGCCACCATATTATCAAACAGGAGAGACACCAGACATGTGGTTTGTTCCGCAACTTGTTTGGGAAATAAGAGGTGCAGACTTCACAGTATCCCCAGTTCATCATGCTGCTATTGGTTTAGTTCATCCATCTCGAGGCATCTCAATCAGATTTCCAAGATTTATTTCCAGCGTGTCAGACAGAAATCCAGAAGAATGTAGCACAGCTGCTGATATAGTTGAAATGTTTCATTCACAGACTCGGAAGATGGATGTCACAACTAAAGGTTGAACATTGGTTTGTTTCTTATGTACATACTATGTTCTCATTGTAAAGTATTTCTAGGCAGCTTACTGTAGATGTTTTAATGTTTCGTATTTTTGCGTACATTACAGTGTATTTAACATCTTTCTTGGCTTTTTTGCTCCCATGTATATGTCTTTGAAACTTGATTAACGCCAATTCACTATGATGAAAACTTTTTTGACCTGGCTTTTATTTTGAGCACGATATTTCACTCTGCCATTGCCAGTGATCAATTCTCATGTTCTTTGAAGTGCACATCTTTTCTGCACATGTTGTCTGGAAATATGCATTCAGGCGTGGAAATTTTGGAGTTTCTTTTGGATACACACTTTTGGACTATGTTGGTGGGGGAGTAAGTAGTTTTTTGTCGTTGTAATTTTGCATTTTTGTTACTTGAAAAGAAGGAAATAGTTCTGGGTGGGGATTAGCAACATTGGTAGGGCACAATATACACATCACATGATTTCTTCCATCTTTGATTTTCAGCTGCGTGTCTTTTTTTTTTTAATTAAAAATAAACGATATTCATTTTTCAAATTAATAGAATATATCGTTACAATACAAATTTAAAATCGTCAAAAATAAAAAGGATAAATCTGCGAACAAACTCATAACATCCATATTAATAGCATAGAACAACAAATTGCATAAGTCTACAAATATGACTGTATTGAAATGTCCGAAATATTTATGCCTTTAGATTTGTAGCATTAATGACAACAAAGTCATAGATTGAATATGCATTAGATGGAAACTAATCTTTCAACTTGAAAGAAATGAACATCTTACAAAGTCGAGAAAACAAAATACATCGCATAAAGACGAGAAATCAAAATACACCACACAAATCAAACAAGCAAGAAGGAACTTTTATGAGTCAAACTAAATACTACTTAAAGCTTTTGAAGAAGTTTGATATAAAAGACTCAAGGAGTATCTCAACACCTATGACATCTTATGTGCTTTGACAAAGACAAACGAGAAGTGGACTTTGACATTATCATGTATAGAGGTATAATCAGATCCTTACTCTATTTAACTGCAATTAGGTCAGGTATCATGTTTTTGAGTGTGTATGTGTGCTAGATATTAAGCATCACTTATGAAATCACGTTTTACGATCGTAAAACGTATTTTGAGTTATCTTGACGGAATTTCATAACACAATCTTTAGTATCCTAAGGGTAATGCTTGTAGCTTAGTAGGTTATTCTGATTCTGATTTCGCGCGGTGCAAGTCAAATAGGAAAAGTACTAGTGATACATGTCACTTATTTAGAAGCTGCTTAGTTTCTTGGCATAGTAAGAAGCAACACAATATTGCATTTTCTACTGTCGAAATTGAATACGTAGCTGCTGGTAGTTGTTGTGAACAAGTCTTATGGCTAAAACAACAATGATTAGATTATGATTTAAAACTAGGTTGCATTCTGATTAAGTGAAATAGTATTAGTGTGATTAACTTCACCAAGAATTCAGTACTTTATTCATGAACTAAACACATTGAAATCATACACCATATTCTTAGAGATCATGTTAAAAAAGAGATGTTGTTTTTAAATATGTTGACATTAAATATCAGTTTGCTGACATCTTTATAAAACTATTGTCATTAAAAACATTTTTCACAAGGTCTTTAGAGAGGTGGGAATCTTAGATTCCTCATGCTTTATATATATATATATATATATATATATATATATATATATATATATATATATATATATATATATATATATATATATATATATATATATATATATATATATATATATATATATATATATATATATATATATATATATATATATATATATATATATATATATATATATATATATATATATATATATATATATATAATTTTGATCTGACCCAATCCACTTCTGCATCCAGGATGGTCCAATAGCCTTAGTCTAATCAGTTGGGACAAACATATGTCACTTTCTCTCTCTGCCCCTCAGCAGGGGATACTGTTACTACGGTAAAGCGGCAAACAAAAAATAATATATTCTTTTTATCGGGTGATATAGGTTAATATTGTATCGTGTTCACGGAGATTGGTGTATTGAAATGTCGTTCGACAAATCTATCGTTAATGAATTAGGGGATTGAACAGGTTGTATGGAAAATACATCAACAAAAAATAAATGTAAACGAAAATTATAAAGGATAGACAACTTATCCGGTATGAATGTATACTACTCGTCATAAACTTAAATCTATCGATCAGTTACACTTAACCTATTGTACTCGTCAAAATCATCACAGACACCACGAGATATACCCACAACGAATGTTATGTCTAACGCCAAGTCGCGAGATCAACCGTATTACTCTATCGATAATGTCTTGCGCGCTACAACAACATGGAGGCATTAAGCTTTAACACTCAAAGTGAATATTAGCTTTAAATCTATCTCTAGGATCTAGAAACTAATAGATATGCATCCCTAACCAAGATTTATGACGTATATGTCTATAACAACTCAAATTCAAAAATAAAGCAAAAAGATCAAAAAAGACATCAAGATTGATTTGTAAAGCAAACTTTATACAACACCATGATCAACAAATATACATATGTTCAAAGTAAATATACAAAAAATATCCAACAAAACAGAAATACAAAGAGGAGAGAAGAGATAAACCACAAATCTTCCAATTTGTCAGCGTCGGTCGAAGAGAAATCCACCTTCAATCATCCATAAGCAATGCCCTAATGTTGTTTTCTAAGCTAATCTATCAAAAAATGAAGGTTTGATGAGTTGGGAATAAACACCCCAAAACATCACCTAAAAATGTGTTTTTTGCCCCTTTTAACGTGATTTTGTCCAGGGGACCGCGCTAAGCGGTAAAATCCCGCTAAGTGCGCTCTACTGTCATGAGAAAAAAAATCAGCATTTTGTTTTTGCCATAACTTGAGAATCGTAACTCTGATTTACACCTGGTTTAAAGCGTTGGAAAGCTTATTCAATTATCTATCTAAAAATGTCTAAATATCAACCAAATTAATGATTTTTTACTTTCATTTTGAGTCTTATTCATTGACGAGTTGCTCAAAATCGCGCGTTTGAAGCAGTGTCTTTGAAACTTTATTGCTCATGCTCCAAAAATGCACAATACCTATAAAATGAATGGAAAACTATCAAATCGTACACAAATACATAAAATATCGATTAAATATGATTTCTACATAATTATACAAAAAACAGGGAATTATTCAACGATATTAACAACAAAAAGTCGATAAGTGCAACAAAAAATATATACAAAAATAGCTACAATTTGCAGTTAACAAACTCTCTCCAACTTGAACTTGTTTGTCCTCAAACAAAGCCAAACAACTCAAAGAACCAAAAGTAATCAACCAAAATATCATGAATCAACAAGTTTTGAAAACGGAAAACAAATGCAATGGCTCAATTTAAAAACGATACACACGAAGAAACATACTTACCACTAAACTACCACGATAACATAAACATGAGACAAATGCTAAATACAAAAATTATGCCAAACATTTTAAAACAATACTAGTTCACAAATGAATCACACATAGAAAATATAATCATCGGTAGATGAAAAATACACAAAAATGGAGTATTTTCACTCATCCAACAATCTTGTAAACAATAGACTAAATTATACATTCATCCAAAAATTTATATTGAAAATATAAAAGCAAGAATCTCAAGGGCTTTTCAAGGTTGTAGCGTGGTCGGATGAACAAACAAGGGATAATTCCTAAGACTAATCGAAATAAAAATTTGTCTAAACCTAAGGGAGTGATCAATTCACCAAAGTTTAAAACAATAGAATTTCAATCAAACTTCTTCTTTATCCCAAGTGTTACACCCAACACACATCACTTATTAACACAATATTATTTCAAACTCTTTTTGTTTTTCTTTTTCAAAGTTTTTTTTTTCCAATTTTTTTCTTTCTTTTTCTTTTCTTTCTTTTTTACTTTTTTTTCTTCTTTTTCTTTCTTTCTCAGTCTCATAGCAATCACAACATCAATTCACAATCATTTTTCTCCCCAACTTGAATTCAACCATACATTAAAGTGAATACTCCATATTTTCTAAGACAAGGTAAAAATTCAATCTAAAACAATGGTTGAGGGTTCAAGAAAATAACGAATCAACATCCATGCAAAAATGGAAACTAAACACTCATAGACAAGTATTTAGCAAATATAACATGGATATCGACAAAAAGCTTAAAGGGGTTACTAATGATCACACACTCACAAGGTGAATTGACTATTTGACCAAGGTAGTTGTGTTCAAAATGAAACAAAAAATGTCTTGATCATTTTCATGCTTTCATACAACCAACACAAACAAAAGATTAAGCATAATAAAATCCAGTTAAAACAAGAGTTGTGGTCTCCAGCATATGTGAACAATTGAAAGCTACCTCACAAAAAGGGTAGGAACTAAAGCGATTCACAAACGAACATGTATACAAAAGAATGAACGACATAAAATTGTAAAAAGTCTAAGTATCATGAATATGCTAAAGTATAGAAAGCGATAAACACATACCTCAAACGTGTGCAAAACTTTAAAAAAATTATTACCACACATTCCCAAGTTGAAACACTCAAACTTGGAAAATCACCAAAAGCGACTTCAAGCTATCTAACCAAAATTTGAGTACAAACAACAACAAAAGAATTAATTATACTAATATTATTCACAATTACAAGGCCTAGGTGAAAGTGGAAAAAACAAAAACCAAGCGAAAAATTAAAAATAATTTACTGATTATGTACAACAGAGCGCGCTAAGCGGCACAGAGCACGCTCGACGCGCTACACCAGTTGTAGAAAAATAGGACAGCAACTGGTGTAGCTGCTATGCAAGATCCACAATCACCTTACACACTTAATGTACAGAATATTCACAATATATAAACCTCCTCAAGCTACACACGACAAGTTTGCAGAAAAATACAAATTGACATAACAAAACTAAAGGGTGAAAATGAATTAAACAAGTTGAAAAGTAAAAATTTTAGAATTTAAAACAAGTCATATTTCAACTTGTTAAAACACAAGTTAACACATACATAAACGAATACAAACAAAAACATGCTTGTTTTACGTCATAAGCTCGATGCCTTTATTGTGAGAGCTAGTAACCTCCTCTCGTCATACCATGGTATTGTCACACCGTGCAAACCTAAAGAAAGTGTCCTAACATTCACACAATAAACGTTACGAAAACAAGACAATTCACAACAATACGTGAAAACAAAGAAAAAACACATATATGCACAAGTATGATATACAAGTTAATGTACAATTTCTATACAACATATACATTAATTACAAATCTAAAAAACAAAAGAATTATCGCAATGCGAAAACAATAACACCAATCACTGACAACAACGCCATTTTGTTGTTGCGGTAAAGCGGCAAGCAAAAAGTAAAGCATAATTTTTATCGGGTGATATAGGTTATATCGTATCGTGTTCACAGAGATTGGTGTATTGAAATGCCATTCGAAAAATCTATAATTAATGAGTTAGGGGGTTGAATGAGTTGTATGAAAAATGTATCAATAAAAAATAAATGTAAACAAAAACTATAAAGGATATACAACTTATCTGGTATGAATGTACACTACTCGTCACAAACTTAAATCTATCGATCAGTTGCACTCAACCTACTGTACTCGTCAAAATCATCACGGACACCACGGGATATACCCACAATGAAGGTTATGTCTAACGCCAAGTCGCGAGACAAACTGTATTACTCTATCGGCAATATCTTGCGCGCTACAACAACACAGAGGCATTAAGCTTTAGCACCCGAAGTGAATATTACCTCTAAATACATCTCTAGAATCTAGAAACTAATAGATATCCATCCCTAATCAAGATTTGTGAGGTATATGTCTATAACAATTCAAATCCAAATATAAAGCAAAAAGATCAAAGAAGACATCGAGATTGATTTATAAAGCAAACTTTATACAACACCATGATCAACAAATATACATATGTTTAGAGTAAATATACAAATAATACCCAACAAAAGAAAAATACAAAGAGGGGAGAAGAGATAAACCATAAATCTTCCATTTTATCAGTGCCTGTCGAAGAGAAATCCACCTCCAATCATCCATAAGCAAGACCCTAATGTTTTTTTCTAAGCTAATCTATAAAAAAAAATGAAGGTTTGATGAGTTGAGAACAAATACCCCAAAACATCACATAAAAATGTGTTTTTTGCCCCTTTTAACGTAATTTTGTCCAGGGGACTGCGCTAAGCGGCAAAATCCCGCTGAGCATGCTCTACTGTAATGAGAAAAAAGTCAGCATTTTATTTTCGCCATAACTTGAAAACCGTAACTTCGATTTACTCCCGGTTTGAAGCATTAGAAAGCTTATTCAATTATCTATCTAACAATTCCTAAATACTAACCAAATTGTTGATTTCTTATTCTTTGATTTTGAGTCTTATTCGTTGACGAGTTGCTCAAAATCGCGCGTTTGAAGTCGTGTCTTCGACACTTTATTGCTCATGCTCCAAATACGCATAAATATCTATAAAATGAATGGAAAAATACCAAACGATACACAAATACACAAAAACTCGATTAAATACAATTTATACATAATTATGCAAAAAACGGGAAATTATTCAATGATATTAACAACAAAAAGTCGATAAGTGCAACAAAAAATATTATACAAAAATAACTACAATTTACACTTATCAAACTCTCACCAACTTGAACTTGTTTGTCTTTAAAAAAGCCAAACAACTTAAAGAACCAAAAGTAATCAACCAAAATATCATGAATCAACAAGTTTTGAAAACGAAAAACAAATGCAATGACTCAATTGAAAAACGATAACACGAAGAAACATACTTACCACTAAACTACGACGATAACATAAACATGAGACAAATGCTAAACACAAAATTTATGCCAAAAATTCTAAAACAATACTAGTTCACAAATGAATCACACCCAACAAACATATTCATCGGTAGATAAAAAATATACAAAAATGGAGTGTTTTCACTCATCCAACAATCTTACAAACAATAGACTAAATTATGCATTCATCCAAAAATTTACATTGAAAATATAAAAGCAAGAATCTCAAGGGCTTTTCAAGGTTGTAGCGTGGTCGGGTGAACAAACAAGGGATAATTCTTAAAGCTAATCGAAACAAAAACTTGCCTAAATCTAAGAGAGTGGTCAATTCACCAAAGTTTCAAACAATAGAATTTCAATCAAACTTCTTCGTCATCCCAAATGTTACACCAAACACACATCACTTATTAACAGAATATTATTTCAAACTCTTTTTGTTTTTGTTTTTCAAATTATTTTTTTCAATTTTCTTTCTTTCTTTCTTTTTCTTTTCTTTCTTTTTTACTTTTTTCTTCTTTTTCTTTCTTTCTCAGCCTCATACCAATCACAACATAAATGCACAATCATTTTTCTCCCCAACTTGAATTCAACCATACATTAAAGTGAATACTCTCTACTTTCTAAGTCTAGATAAAAATTCAATCCAAAACAATGGTCAAGGGTTAAAAAAACAACGAATCAACATTCAAGTTGAAATAAAAAAACACTGCAATAAGAAAGTAACCGCTGCAATCATGAATCAATAGCAGTTGAAAGGGAGCGAAGAGGAGAAAGCAGGGTTTCGTAACGACAGTAGAGGATGATGAATGAATCAAACAAAATTGAAAGAAAATTCAATCCTGTAATTGTCCATGAACATATATCAATGGAAATGAAGCAAAAATTTGGTCATTTTTCAACCCATCCACGTGTCGGATGCAGAGCATTGTAGAGAAAAATAGAGAATTTTTTTATATCGTAGATATTAACATTTAGACTAAAAAGTTCTTACAAATATTTGTTTTTAAAATATGTCTTTTTTGCATAATGTATCTAATCACTATTAATCATTAATATTAGTAATAAAATAAATAATTATAATGTTGTTCCAATATAAAATTTGTCAAGTGTTTTATGTTAAAAATAATTTTAATATATTATATTAATCTTACAAAAATTTCATCAAAACTAAAATACGATTAAAAATTCAATTTGTATAATATTTTATACAAAAATATTAGTATTTAGACTAAAAAGTTGTTACAAATATTTGTTTTTAGAATATGTCTTTTTTATGTAATATATCTAATCATTATTAATCATTAGTATTAGTAATAAAATAAATAATTATAATGTTGTTCCGATATAAAATTTATTAATATTGATAAAAGAAACTATTATATGTATGACAACTTTATCAAAGAGTTAAATGACAATTAATTCAATTAAATTATTTTTAAAAGATTAATTCAATTAACTTATCTGGACTCAACTGAGTTTTGTTAACTCATCTAAAATCACAGGTAGATATGAGTATATGAATTCACGGATAGATCTGAACCTATCTATGAGATACCAGCTGTAGACCGACCATTTTGATATTCATCTTCTAACTATTTCTTTTATTATTGTTATATTTAATTGAAATTATAAAAATAGTTGTACAATTTATTATAAATACGAATAAATGCTTAAAAGTTGGTAGTGAAAAATATGTAATGTGAATTTTAATTCATTATACTATTTGGTTCAAAATAGATTGAATTTTGGTTGAATTATATTAACTTGTCTTTGATATATATAAATGAACTTTACAAATCAAAATTAGATACATGTCATGTCAATCCAGACGGGACTCATACAATAACACTGATATCTTACAAGTTTCAATTAAAATGTTGAACTAACCAAACCATAATCGGCAAATCTTATAAATTTTATCTCCAATTTAAATTTAAAAACATTATCCAAAATTTAATTAATCTAATTTTTTTCTTATTATAAAATAAGGCTGCAACTAAACCGATAAGTAATAAAATAAAAGAATTTCTTACTATATTTTTTGAAGTTTTTAAAAGTCTTTAACGAAATACTCGTAATACTTCTTTATTTGGACATGTGTATCTGAACATATCTAATATTTCATTTTTAAAAGATAATCGGATATACATATATAAAATAATTTAATATTTCGCTTTTAAGTGATTTTAAAATATGCATATTCGAAATAATCAAATTTTCACATATAAATATCCAAATTAATAAAATGTTAAAAATCAATTAGAATTAATGTGTATCAATTAAAATTAAATATCAATTATATTATCTTATTATATATCATTCTTATTATATATCATTTATATAAGTATAAATATATCTTAATATAGTTTCATTAACGCACATATTATAGTACAGAAACATATATTTTCAATAAAAAAGAAATTATTACGTATATAATAAGAAATAATGGATATTCCAACTAAAAAAAACACTATTTACAACATCCATTCACTCCAAGGTTATTATAAAACAAGGCTGCAACTAAATCGAAAAATAATAAAATAAAGATGCAATATTTATTAAAAAGGGGTGCAATTAGTAAACCCCTACGTTACGTGAGAAATTAACTCTCTCACACAATCCTCGCTTCGCTGCCTTCAAGTATCAGCAGTAGTGATCAGCACGAAGAAACAGCGCTCACAAGTCATTGAAAACCACCGTAACCAACCATTATAGTAACAACCCTCTGCTTCTTCAGTTATTACTCATTCGTTATCTCTTTCCCTTTTGATGGCCGGAATCCGTTTGCAACCGGAGGACTCCGACGTTTCGCAACAAACGCGAGCTGTTGCCCTATCCGCCGTCGATCTGGTCTCCGACGACGACCGCTCCATCGCCGCTGACTCATGGTCCATCAAGAGCGAGTACGGAAGCACTCTCGATGACGATCAGCGCCATGCCGATGCCGCTGAAGCTCTCTCTAATGCCAACTTCCGTGCAACCTCAGATTACAGGTTTCATTCCTCTTCACCTTCTCCGTCTCTCAGTATTAACTTTGAACGAGTAAAGCGAAATAAAATGAGACTGTATGTGTCCAATGAATTGAAATCTGCGTTTCGTCAATTGTTAATTTGTGATGCATGACTGTGTCAATTTCCGATTCGTTGATTGATTGCATTTCTTGCTACCTTGTTTTTTTCTCTCTTGTTGTTAATGTTATGAGATCGCGGATTTGTAAATATGCTTGAGAGTGAAAACCGTTAATATTACTATGATTAGGTTTTCGGATTTTAGTTTTTGGGGAAATAGGTGTAGTACATACTTAAGATCTGGTTTATTAGGTTACTCGCATTTCCAAAATTTACGGAGGTTAAGATGGTTTATATTTGGAATTGATTGGTAATGTATGGATCTGAGTTGTAGCTGTGTGGATTTTGGAATTTAGAATTTACTTTGTGAGTTTACAATCGGGAACTGGTGTTTGTAAGCCGGAACTTGTGAAATGAGTTGAATGAATGAAGCTGAATCCTTGAATTCTTGATTTACTAATGCTGACTGCTTTATTATATACTTGAATAATTTTTGTGTGCAGTTCTGACAAGGATGAACCTGACTCTGAAGCAGTCTCATCAATGCTGGGATTTCAGAGTTACTGGGATGCTGCATATACAGACGAGCTTGCAAATTTTCGTGAACATGGTCATGCTGGTGAAGTTTGGTAATTTTTTTTTCGTGAACACATCGCTTCAGTGATTTATATGGTTTTTTGTGCTGAGATTTTCTTTGGTCTTAATTTAGGAAATGTTTTACTGATATTAATCTAATTCTGTATCATCTCTATGTATTTGTAGTCTATTTTTTTCCTTAGAAAAACATGTTTTCAGCAATTCGCGCTTAGAATAATCAAATCTAAGCATCTCTGCTTTTAATCTTTGGTTATTAGGTGAATTTACTGACCAGTGGGTAATAATTAGTTTTGTAGGCATTTCTTGGAGAGTATTATTAATTCATTATTATTCTAAATATAAGAAAGTATTTGAGCTTCTATTTGATGAATTTTTTTGAATCAGGATTTCTTCATTGCTTATTTTGTTTTCCTAGCTTGTTGTACTCGTTATTCAGTTTCCTAACAAAGGTACTCCCCCTTTTATTAAATGATTACTATACATGTTTTTACTTTTTACCTTTCAACATAATGTAATGTTGGAAGAATAAAAAGGATTATGCAAAGCTTCAGAATGTATGCTGGCTTCCTTGCTTTGCCTAGATCAGAAACTTAGTTTGATCAGTGTGGTACCTTTTAAACATTCCTATTATATCTATGGAGTTGATACTCAGTTTAAGGCAGTGTTATTAATAGTGGATCGCGGAAAATAACGAATTGCGGAAAATAGCAGATTACCAAAAATCCGATATGAGAAATAGTAGATCTCCAAAAAATAGCAGATAGCATAGCGGGTAAATAGGAGAAGTTGCAACATGTTGAAACATAAATAAATGTATATAAAATAAAGCATGTCGCGCACAGATAAAATCTTCATTAACATAAATTAAAAAGTAATTGACATAAAATTCAATTTCAATATTTCAAAGAACTAATAAAGCATGGAGCATAGTTGCATACATTGCGCATAGGTGAAGGACCAAAGTGGTTACTTTTTGTTTTTTGTTTTGTTTGAGCTAGTGAGTTATGTCTTTACCTAAGTACTGGTAGTTTCATTGCTTTAGGTATTATATATAGTACCAGTAACCGACTCACCACTTCATATTTGGTAATTTTAAAATGTTTTTAACAGTTTGGCCACTGCTAAAACACACAACTCCGCTATTGATTATGTACCGGTTTAACTGATATACGCGCCGTTATTCTGCAAATAGCGGAGTTATGTCTTTACCTAAGTACTGGTAGTTTCATTCCTTTAGGTATTATATATAGTACCAGTAACCGACTCACCACTTCATATTTGGTAATTTTAAAATGTTTTTAACAGTTTGGCCATGCTAAAACACACAACTCCGCTATTGATTATGTACCGGTTTAACTGATATACGCGCCGTTATTCTGCAAATAGTGGAGTCGACATATTTTATCGACTATACCTGTTTTTTAACAACACCGGTTTGAGGAGAATGTGAACTTCAGGCTGACATTAAGATTTCCGGGTTTTAACACATCACTTTGCTCTATATAATGTTTAGACCTCTTCAATTCCTTTTAGGAGTCAGTCCATGTATGGGATCTTTTACAGAAAAAGTGAGGTAACTGTATTGTGATGCGGTAAGAATAAATGTCCGTGTAAGAGATATCAAATGAACATTTTATATTGATGGTGATGAACCTTGACAATGTGGGAAATTGTTGGAAATGATACATTCTTAATATTTTCATTGAAAATTGTTTAGCTGTTACATTTTGTGCTGTTAATTTTCATCTTTGTAGGTTCGGCGATGATGTGATGGAGGTAGTTGCATCTTGGACAAAGACATTGTGCATTGACATTTCTCAAGGCCGCATTCCAAATCATGTTGACGGTGTTAAGGGGGAAGCTGGTGAACTAGGTGATAAACTTTTGTCTAGTTGGAATGTACTTGACATTGGGACTGGCAATGGTTTGCTTCTCCAAGAATTAGCTAAACAAGGGTATGGTCTCACTTTTTATCCATATTGTTGGTAATATTACTGTGTAAATATTAAAAAATTATACTAACTATAATCCATTGTCTTTCTTCACTTCTCCCACTCCCAGTCTCTCACAACTACACAAAAATGTGTCAATTCCCCTTCAATTTGTCAGAATATATATAGGCGTATCATTCTTGTATCAAACATATATATGTGCATATGCAAATAAAATTGAAGGATAACTTCACTACAGAAACAGTAATAAACGATTTATATCAAATAACTTTTAAAATATATGGAAGTTTTAATTAATTGAAGGAACTAGCATAAGCTCACGGTGGTGCACACCAGTAATAAATGATTTATATCAAATAACTTGTAAAATATATGGAAATTTTAATTACTTAAGGGAATTAGCATAAGCTCATGATTGTGCATACCAGTGGAGCTATGAGCCTACAAAGGTGGAATTTTCTACTTAAAAAGAGTTCATGCATGTTTCTTTTTTAATAAAACAAAAATTATTAAAAATGGAAGTGTTGGAACATGTAATTTTCTGGCTAACAATTAAACTGAAATGCCCTTCCATTCCCCCCCTCAATTTATACCATTTAATTTAGTGGGGTACTTACAGCTTGTAGGTGCTAGATTGCTTATAGATCAAGTTATGCTGTACTGACAAGTTATTGAAGTTCAGATTATCTGGGCATTGTCCAGAGAAGACATTGAATGAAAAATGTATAAACTCGGGCATAAAAACGTAACTTCAGAAAAAGAGGAAATCATGTTTGGTGACTTCTCCCTGGTTGCTTACATCCAAGTTTTCCCCAGAATTTTACTCTAATCAATTTCCAATTTCAAAATTTTTATTGACACCTATATCTCTTGCTCACATTGCGGTAGTATAGAAAATAAAGAAATGAAGAGATAAAGAAAGTAAAAGTATATTGAAGTGAAGAAACAAAGAACTACTGAAAGAAAGGCTGCTTAAATATATTTTTTTGAATGGCTGCTGCATAAATATATAATTTTATAGTTTTCCTAGGAACGGAACTGCCCTTTGTTCAGTCTTTAGATCTTGCATATTTTGAATATTGATTGTGGAAAGATATTTGCATTTATTCTTTTAGTATTACAAACACCTTATTGATCAAACTCATGGTATCTGCTCAGGTTCTCTGATTTAACTGGAACTGATTATAGTGAACGAGGCATCAACCTTGCCCAAAGCCTTGCTAACCGTGATGGGTTTCCCAACATCAAATTTTTGGTATGTTCAACTTTCAGAGCATGTGCGCGTGTATGCGCTTGTCTGTGTTTCAATACATAATTTTGTGGTAATGTTCAAACTGTGCCACAATAAGGTATATTTGGCTAAAGCAGAACTCTCGAATCTTCAACAAGTTTTCTTAGGTATATCATTAACTTGGGATAAGATCAAGCAATTGACATCTATTTAGTGCAAAAGTTATGGCCTTTTTTTATGGGAATCTTTTTTACATTGATTTCTCATTTTCCGTTTTGGTCTTTTGTTTAGGAGGATTTGTTCTTGATCTTTTTAATTCTCTCTTTTTCTCAATAAGCTGTTTCTTCTTTGAGTGAATGTAGTTGATTATGCTTTTTTTCTCACTTTCATACCCCAGCAAAATCTGAGTTTATGAACTAAAAGTTTGTGTTTGCAATAATTATATGACCAACCTCTGTGCCTTTAGAATATTCTTATCGATCTTTATTGAGAATAGTAACTTCTGGTTGCAAATAACATAAATTATCTCACTTGCATCATGGGATATTCAGCATTGCCAGGCATTATGCAACTTGATACATTTCAGGCTGCCTGTCCTAGGGCTCAAAATGGGCATTGCCTCAAATGTGATGTGAATGAATCATGTGATTTTCACAACACTTTCTGAACTTTTATTTTACATTCTAGTTTATTATATGAATTGTTTGGAAATTGCAATAAAAGAGAAATATATTCGTCTTGTGTTTGACATCGTCTTAACTTTTAAATATAAGCCTTTTTTTTTCTTTATCACCTTTTCCCCCTGTTTTGTAGTATATGACTACTTGCATAAGCATTCATTATTAGCCTTTAACTTGTTTATTAGCATACCTATTTTGTATGCAAGCAATAAATATCTATCCTTACGTTATTGCCACGTCTAATAGAGATACATTGATATAACTGTTTAAAGGTTGATGATGTCCTTGAAACTAAGTTGGAACAAGTGTTTCAACTTGTCATGGATAAAGGAACACTTGATGCTATTGGATTGCATCCTGATGGTCCTGTCAAGAGGTAAGAGAAAGTATTGTCTTATCCATGGTTCTGTCATAATACTATTGGGAGGATGTTATTTTGTTTTGTAAAACCATGTAACACATTTCTTTCGCGCTTGCTACTTTGTACTCCATATAATCTTCTGCTGGTTGCTTTCATATTTTCAGAATGATGTATTGGGATTCTGTTTCAAGGCTGGTTGCTTCTGGTGGAATACTTGTAAGTACTTTTGAACTACTTGTTCTTGCTCAAGGTTAATATTAGACTTGGTCATAGAAACGATGTTGGGTTTAGGCCCATGTTTTAGTCATCTGCCAAGTAGTTGGTGCTCGTGACATAAATTTTGCCTATTACAAAGTGGGAGTCCTTTGTTCATCACAAAGTTGTGGTTGTTTTATTTTATGCTGTTAATTGATGCTTATGCACTTGCTATCTTTCTCCCATGCCGTGTTCATGACATTGTTGCCGTTCTTCTACTTTATGATGCTTGTCCTTTCTGACTTTCCTTTGTATTATGTAATGTAAGGTGATCACATCTTGCAACAGTACGAAGGATGAGTTGTTACAAGAAGTGGAAAGTTTCAACCAAAGAAAAAGCGCTACTGCCCCGGAACTTGAGGTAGCCAAGGATGATGAATCATGCAGAGAACCTCTATTTCGATATGTTAATCATGTCCGCACATATCCAACATTCATGTTCGGTGGATCCGTAGGCTCCCGCGTTGCCACCGTGGCATTTCTTCGGAAATGAAGCCTGCCCTTTTGCCCTCATGATTTTAGGTGTCTCTGGTGAATGTTTTGATGATGTTTAGTTAGACATGTGTTGAACTTGTGTTATATTCTCGTCGAATAGTAAATATTTTTCTTATTTATGTGGCAGTGAAGTTTTCCTCCCCTTTTGTTTGGGTGAATGGTTGTAATCGTTCAATTTCCTTAACAAATGGAGTAAAGGGAAGGACAGTTAGTTCAGTAAGGCAAAAGATTATTTCACTCCGGCTCTTTTTGTGGCAGTAATTACAAATTTACAATGGGCTTATCTTTTTAAAGAAATAGGAGTTCTTCGGATAGGTTGACGTGGCAGATGAAATCTATCTCACCTTAAATCAGACATAGCTTAACTAACGGGTTAGCACTGCCAACTATAAATCTATTAGGTTGAGTTGACTGATAGTGTATAAATATTGTTAGAATCTGTAATCACAAAGAGAGAAAGAGTAGAGGGAGAAGGGAGATTGAGAGTTAAAAGAATATGAGTAGAATTCATTTGTCATTATGATTCTGTTACATTCAGACTTATATAGAAGTTATTAGTGTAAATGTCTTTCAATAGAATGATTTTTTTTAGTAATAATAAGTATTGAAAAAAAAAACACAAATAACATTGTTTTGGAGAAAATTATGCAAATAATGGAGGTGTCAAGTGAGATGACGCATGCACTCACTTTTTTGTCCTAGACGCCATCTCACTTAGCGTATGCACTTTGTTTTAGCCAAGTGAGATGACACATGCACTGTAAAAAGGAGAGGAGGCGCCATATGAGATCGCTACTATGTGCAATTGTGTTTTCTATAAATAAAACACCTATTTATCCATCATTTTCACACTTTCTCACACCGTCTTGTTATTTTTTCTCTGTTATTTGTGTCATGACATCTCATGATTTTCACCAGAGATGAATACGTTATTTTCTCGGCCATCAAAAGAACTCAATCTTGGTTGGAGGAAGTCAAATCAGATAGAGACGTAATGGTGATGATGCATGACTCAGATGAAATTATTTTAACGGTTGTAATTTCTTAGACGTTTTATTGTGTTTTTATTCGTTGTTTGCGTATGTTTTGTTGTAACAAATGCTCTTAATGAAAAAAAGATACGTTTAAAACTTAAAAAAGTGCAGATGGTTTCCATATAATTTTTATGTTGTCGAACTTGTAGTCCGAGTTGGATAATTTTTTTGATTGTGTCTGACCTGACGACCTAGACCACACTTTCTTTCTAACTTGTCAAATGAGTCCATTTCAGTTGTGATACACTTGCTTTTGAGACGATCCTTTTTATTGCTTCACATTTGATCGTTGTGTCATACTATTTTTCCATCGTATGCAGACCAATAATCAGGTTTCACTACCATTGAGAAGCCATTGTTGTATACGTTAAGCAAGATTTCAGACTTGTAAATGGGAGATAGAAGTAGTAATGCATCTTGATGAGTATACGCATATGCCACAATGACATGAGAGCAAGGCATACAAAAGACTTGAAACTTTCCACAATCGCACCAACAAGATGGTAGTATAAATACTCTTGTCTTGACAGCCCCTCGTTGTGGTCGTTGTCTCTTTGACAATGAAGTTGTGGCTATGTCGGTCGAACCTTATAACAAGATGTGTGTTGGATTTGGCGCTTTCTGTCTTAATATAATTCATGCAACTTTCACTCCATAGTTATCCCGATTGTAAGATCGCATTTCACATTTTACATCTTTTGGCAAACAACGGAGTCATCCTAAAATATGTTGATTTCACCAAAGCGGTTACTGGGAGGTTTCGTATGCCTTTGAATACACCATTCATTGATTCAATAAGATTTGTTGTCATATGATCCCATCGCTGTCCATTGTCGTATGACCTTGTCCATTTCTCCACTGAAATATTATCAATTCACCTACATGCATCCGGATTTGACAATCTGATCTCGTTGTGATAGTGTTTGAACGGAGGTTGTGTTAATACATCTAATACAGTAGACATGCGTAGAAGGAGGATCATACCAACTATTTGCAGGATTATTGTATGCACTCTCAATAGATGCATTTCTGTTAGAGATCAAACAAAGACCAGGTTGAGGAGCCACATGTGTTCAGGGATTCTTGAGAAATAAACTCCAAGCACCACCAGTATCTCCCTCGACTAGAGCAAAGACAATTGGAAAAACGTTGTTGTTGCCATCTTATGCAACTGCCATTAGTAGTGTGCCTTTTTATTTCCCGTATAACCATGTTCCATCTATTTGAATAATAGGTTTGCATGACGCAAACTCTGTGATGCAAGGTTGAAAAGCCCAGACCAGTCGACTGAATATCCTATTTTCGTCGACATGAGTACCATATGGGGCCTACGCCGACAATGTTTCCATAATATAAACAGTTCCATGAGAATATGTCTAAAGTGCACGCAGGTAGCACGATAGTTCTTTGTATGACTCCTCCTAGTTTCCGTATACCTTTTCAATCGTTTTGGTCTTTGTTAACCACACCTTTCTATATGACGGAGTATAACTGTATACCGTAGTGATGTGAGAGATTATGATTTTCACTTTCAATGACGAATCATTGCTGACGAGAGGTATGATTTTTTGACATATTAGATCATAATTTAGTTTACGATGATCTTGTGATCGAGTAAAATTGACGCACGTGTGGATGGACATAGAACCTATCACCCAACAATCACCTCTCAATCTGTATGATGCAGTGAGCCTGAATATACAATCTGGGTGAACACACCTGATCTTGTACCTTCTGAATTTACCCGATCCACCTTAAAATCGACAAAGTTTAGCATGTGAAACTTTTTTATAGCTCGCATGCAATCTTCTCTATTACGAAATTTGTCTTTCTCTTTTAAATTTTCATCCGACTGCATATACGGGTTGAAAAAAACATCAGATGACGGTTCATCTCCATCCATGTTGAAGTTTGTCATGTGTGAAGGTGGTGTGTAGATCTAATTTGGAGGTATTTCAGGTTGCCCATCGTCTTCAGAATCATCGTTGACCATGTCGTCAAACTCTAACTCTTCATCATCCTCTTCTTCGTCAACGACATCTACTTCAGCTTGTTCGTCTTTGAGAGGATCAACCACTTGTGACTGAGTTGGTCGTGACAGCGAAGGCTCCTGCAACACAATGTACAACTCAATCGAGTCGTAATCAGAATACTCATGACTGAAAAACATATTTTGAAGGCCATCGACCCAACCGCAACAGGAAAATCGACGAAACCCACCACGAGATAGGCGAGGACGCGGATGCGGAACCATGGGTCGTTACCGAGTTTCGGGAGACCACTAAATAATATGCATGTTTTTTTTCATTATGTAATCGTTTTTTGTTAATGAAAAGTCGAAGTTTCGTGAAACTATATCGTTTACTTATTGTCTCGTATTTAAAATAGAAAAAATTGCCATTTAAATGCACCTAGGCGCCATCTGAGATGACTTAGGGCAAACATGTTGCACCTAGGCGCCATCTCACTTGGTGCCTCCTTCTAAAATTCAGGTGTATGCGTCATCTCACTTGACGATTCCATTATGGGATTTTCTGAAATATGGTTATTTACGTCATTATCTCCGAAACATGGTTATTTGTGTATTTTTTTTCAATACTTGATTATTGCTAAAAAAATTCCAATAGAATTATAACAGAATTCTGTTTTGAAAAGTTTAAGGGAAAGGAAAGAGAATTGGGCTTTGGCCCAATTCTTATTACAAGGGAGCCCAACTTTATTCTTTATACACTACTATTTCTTTCAAATTTAGGGTGGTTGATTAAGTCTGAACTTGTCGGTTACTCTAAGTTTACTTTTAAGAAATAGAAACTTAATAGTGGACAAATGTTTTGTAAACTGATTGATCAGATGTAGGAATATGTGCCAATATTAAACTCTTGTTGATGATGTTTTCCCTGAAAAAGAAAATGTTTAGATCTATGTGCTTTGTCCTAGAATGCAAAATAGGATTATGAACAAGACCTCGACAACACTCCAGTTTTCACATAAGACTCTAGGAACTTGATGTATGACTTTCAACTCAAGTAACAATGACTGCAGCCAGAAAATCTCTACAGTAGCATGTGCTAGGCTTTTATATTCTGCCTCAACATTAGACCTGGCCACCAAAGTTTGCTTTTTAGTCCACCATTACATAAGATTTGGCCCTAGGAAGATACAAGCACCATAAATCGACCTCCTACCATCAGATCAGATGCTCAATTAGCATCACAAAACCCTGTTATGGTGATCGGCACACTGAGATTAGTTGGGGCTAGTAGGAGGCCATGATTAGTTGTACCCTGTAGATATCTTAAGATTCTTTTAGCTGTCTTTCAACGATCTTTTAAGGGGTTGTGGATAAAAACTCACAGACCTTGTTAACTGCATAAGAAATCTCAGGCCGGTGACAATAGCATATTGCAGTGCTCCTATATCGGACCTGAAACTTGTGGGATCCGTGACCTAGGCTGAACCAACCTTTGACAGCTTTGTTGTAGAGGCTATAGGTGAGCCTATACCCTTAGTTGCAAGCATATTGGTTTTAGTAAGTAGATCCCTGATATATTTACTTTGAGAGGGTAGGATAGAACCTTTGGAAAGATGACGAACTTCAATGCCAATGAAGTATTCAAGGTGTCCAAGATCCTTAAGAGAGAGCGATAGATTTAACTTGATGATAATTTGTTGAATGAAGGATTTAGATGGTCATGTGATGATGATATCCATAAACCAAGACTAGGGTGTTGCACGAGGAGGTGTGAAAGATGAATAAAGATGGATCACACTTACTAACTGTGAAATCAAGAGAGAGTAGATCACTGTTGAGCCTATCAAACCAGGCTCTTGGAGCTTGCTTAAGGCCATACAAGGCTTTCTGAAGCTTACAAACTAGACGTGGTGCACCTTATTCAAAACCTAGTGGTTGAGCCATGTAAAACTTCTCATTGAGGAGTCCATTAAGAAAAGCATGATTAACATC